AGAATAAATGACGAAAAGGTAGCTCGTTAGCATGAAGCATACAGACACACCATTGTAAAGGTCTATCCAAATACTCTTCAAGGTATTTAATTACACCACCTTTCCACCCGGTATTAGTTGCAGTTCCATCACATCCAACGCAAATTACCTCATTTAAATTGTAATTTCGATTTTTTAATAAAGTTATGATTGAAGTAAAGATTTCTTTTGCGGTTCCACGACATGGCGATGTGTGTCCCAAAAAAATAGAATTAGGTTCTGATAAAATTGAAATATGCTCTTCTAAAACCACTTGGCGATGGTAACGGACTCCTATTTTTTATTCACCAACGTTTTGTCTTTTCGACCATCAAAATAAATGCTGTTTAGTGAAACTTCGCTAATATTTTGAAATATATTTTTTCTGGCCTTTGATACAGCTCTGTGAACTTTATTTTTGTCTATTACTAGAGTTGAGTCTTCATTTGAAACCAGACCTACGTCAACTAAAACGGCAGAAGCAACAGCAGCAGCAGATCGTGTAGACAATCGATATCTATCACAAACTTTTGCCAATGTTGGTAACTGCAGTAAATTTCGATTAGCGAATGTTGTTGTTGGTGTATTTGTAAATGACAGGTTTGTCAGAAGTGTTTCTGTTGCCAGGTTGGTTTTGGAAAAATTGATATGCGTCTCGTCTACATCCAAAGCTGTTGAAACAATATTAGAACCTTGTGTTGAGCAAAACTTTTTGACTCCTTTCATTGAACGTTTAAATTGTCTTGCCTGTCGTTTTCTCAATCTGACCGTTTCTTGTTTATCGATGCCACCTATAGCCATTTTTCTCTCATTTCTTTGATCGATCAAAAATTGTCTTTCGTTAACAGGAACTTTTTTATTTTTCAAACATACACATGCTTCAAATAAGACACATTTACATGAAGCCACATCAAAAAGCCTCTTTGATAAATCTGAAAAACATTTCAGTTTTTTCTCAAAACTATCATGTCTTTTGCTTTTGGGATATCTTTTCAAAGTGAGATATTTTTCAAAATAAGATTTTAAGAGTTGTAAAATTCGATCATTAGATACGATTGGAATGGAAGCTTTTATCCAGATATTTTGAATTTTTTTAGATACAACTGAATAA